CGACACCACGACTTCAGCAGGACGAGGCGCTGCCAAGCGTCGACGTTGCGCAGCTGGCACTGACAACGCAACTGGGCCGTGGTGGACTTGGCACAGTCCAAACGGGAGTTTTTCGAGGCGAGGCCATTGCGGTAAAGTACTATCGCCATCAGCCACACCTCCTGTCTAACCCGGCGGAGGATCGCCGGGCGTTGCATACAGAGGCAATGCTTCTGAGTCGAATCGACCACCCGAATGTGGTCACCGTTTTGTGTCTCGTAGCTGACGACGAAAACACGATCGGGTTTGGCATGGAAATGCTAGGGAAAAGCCTCCAAGAGGCTCATAACAAAAGAGAACTGAATGGACGTGTCCTTGCCGAGGCCTTTAGTCCGACGTGCCAGGGTGTGGCACACATCCATGGCCTGTTGGTGGCGCACCTGGACATCAAGCCAGCCAACCTTTGCTTCGCACGTCCTATGAGCAATGACATCAAGCTGATAGATTTTGACGCTGCACAGGAGCTGAAGCAGGCTGACGAGGTTTTGGTTCGACTTCCAGGAAATTTGTTGGCAGTCTCCCCGGAGAGAGCCGATAAGCGGCCCTGCCGTGCGCTTGCGGAAGACGTGTACATGACAGGTTACACGTTCTTCACTTTGCTCGGACAGTCACCAGCCAACCACGAGACAGGGAGACTGCAAAGATGGGTGATGTCTTTGATGAGCCCGGTAGAGGAAAGGCCATCGATGCAGCAGATCTTGGAGCAATGCACCAAGCCCCTCGAAGCTGAACCAGAGCCGACAGACGCACTGCCGGCTCTTCTTTTGACGCCACCGGCAGTGCCTGCGGCAGGCCAAGATGTGTTCACAAAGCTACTTGGCTCCGAGTTGTGTTGATCAAGTGTGCGCAGAGGCAAAGGCTCTGGCTTTGAGCAACTTGTGACGTGTAGGGCCATGTAGGGCCCGTCCTGAAAGCGCTCGGCCAGCGTGCGGCAAGGGAGCCCTCGAGGTCTTTCGGGCGATCTTACAGGTTGAGCGGTGGCATGACTTCAGCTACACTGACCCTCGACTGGTGAACGTCCGCGAAGCCGGCAGATAGCGAGGAACACTCCACTCAGCTTGGTTTCGAAGCGGCTTTCTTAGCGATGGCTGGGTGAGACGATATTCGAAGACCCGCAACTCCGAGCCTCGGTGCAGGGCGGCAAAGCCACTTCAAGCCCATCACAGTGCAAGGCCTCCGACAGGGTGCATTTTCGGTTGCTTCACTGATGCGAACCACCCATGTGTCGACGTCATGGATTCATTGTCGCGATCCTCAAGCCGCCGGCATTGCCAAGATTCGAGAAAGGAGCCTAGAAGTGTTGTCGGCGCTCGCCAAGCCACATGGCTCAGACTGGCGCATGAGATCATCTCGGCGAGAAACGAGTACTCGCCGTGGCAGGTGCAGCCGCTGATTTTCGAGCTTAGGCTTGTTCTGCATTTGTCCCAAGATGCGGGCTTGAGTCGAATGCAATAAGTCAGCAAGTTGAATCAGCTGCTATCGTGCAGGTCCTCGTGTATGGCCCAGCTTCCTGCTTGATTGCAGCAGCCGTTAGCAGCTTGCGCTTTTTCCGTATGTTTTCCAAACAGAAACATACCGGGGAAACGGACTGTCCCCAAGATCTCAATCAACAGCTCCCAAAGTTGTTTTCATGCTAGCAAGTCGTAAGAGAAGCTGAGTAAATCTAGGTAGGTCCAGCTTGGACTTGGGCATATAGCAAGAAAGAGTTTCCGTGCACATCGAGCCATTACCTGGGGGCATCTCGGTTCGACGTTGCCGGTCGCCTACTGCAGTTCTAGCACAAGCCCACAAATTGTATCATACCTGTTTGACTTGCGCTTGGTTTTTGTTTCGAGGTCATGGAGGTTTTGCTCAAAGACACCAAAGGCAGCAATGGGCGAGAGCAAGAAGAATAGCATGGCCATTGGGGGGTTGTGAATGCCTTGAGGTGTGTCACCCGAGACCATCATCTCCATCAGAGCAGGCTCCACACGTCGCCAGGCACCGTCGAATCGTCGAATGCTGGCCATGCGGCTATCCAGTGGTTGCTCGATGTTTGCAGGTGCCAGTGTCTCTGGCAGACAAGCCATTTAAGCAACACTCTCGGCTTTTCCTTCTCTGGTTCATTGCCAGTGACTGCATGCCTCAACGACGAGGTTCCCATGTCAGCTGTCGGAGTGTGGGGCCATCAAGGCAGATTGTGTGACAAAGATGTAATTTGATGACACCGTGCCGTGCGCTTCGGTGGCAGAGGTCGACTTCATGACTGTCACGGCATCGGCACGGGCCATTCTCCGACCCGAAGGCATGTGGAGCTGATCCGTCTCTAATCAGACGTCAGCCTGGTGATCATGAGGATGCAGCCAGAGACTCTTGTTGCTTGTTTTTCTTCGGCAGGCGAGCAGGATGTCCAACTGAAAATGGTCAAGAAAAGCTCTTCTGAGGAGGCTTTTGCCGCGGTTCCGTGGGCTTTCTGTGAACTTGGTGACCATGAACCATGGTTCATTCCGTGTGCCCGCATCCAGGCTGTGCCTGCTGAAGAGGCAGAGGCAAGGAAGGGTTGTCTTGTGTTGCTGTAAGATTGCCGGAGAGGCAGGCAAAAGTTCTTGGGTAGGTCTCCTTGCTGGTGCGAAGCTCATCAGGCCGTGCTTCTGACTGTTTGCTTCGCATCTGCGATTGTTCGTGAGCCGGAGGAGAGGGGGCTTCAACAGCAGTGCCGGAGCCCACAAAATAAGGCTCGTATCACAATCGGGGCAGACAGAGTGTCGAATGATTGAGGTCTGCGGAGGAACGTGCTGCAAAGAAGCGGGGTTTGGCAAGTGCAACAGAGGAGTATCTTTCAAAGCATGGGGTGATGACCTCAGTGCCACTGGGGTAAGGGAGCAGATCTCGAGGAGCCAAATCTGCGAGGTGCTCACCTTCATTCAGGGTGTGCTGCAAGGTGTCATCCGAGACAGGCCGGGCCTCCTCGTGTTCCTGCATCCAACATCATCCCTAGCTCCCCGGCGCTGCAGCAACAGTCAGAGGGAATGCGCAGCAGAGGCAAGGTCTGCTCACCTGTGGTTTCTGATCGAGTGGTCCATGACCGTAGGTTGAGAGAGGTCTTGGTCATTCATTCGAAGCAAATATTGGAGATCCCTGGTGGTCTCCTTTTTCATCTTCTCGGACCTGGGCTTATCGCTCTCCGACCTGAAAGAGCTTAAAGTTTCTGCCCCTCATCGAATCGCGTTACCGCACTCGTTTTGTATCCATGCTTGTATGGAGAGGGCCGAGCCCCCAATGTTATCTTGTTAACTCTAGAACCTCCGCTGTGTGACAGTACTGCGAGCCTTGACATGTAGACTGTAGACCTATGTGCTAGCCTCTCAATGTGATGCCGGCTGCAGGCCCGAAGATCCCTACAAGTACGTGCGTGCCCGAACTTTCTTCGAGCGTGGCTGTCCCCAAGATGCTTCAGGATGCTTCCGTGACGTGTGCTCTGCTGGTGCTCAGGTTGCAGATCAGTTTGCCTCGGCCTCCGTCTCGAAGGTTTCGGCCCCGGGATCCGGCCCGCATGGCTCTCGCTTGCAACCCACTGCGGTCATCAGGCTCCGACTCCGACCTTGGAGGAGATGCGACAGACAGCCCAAGATGCGCTTCTACAGGGGGCGAAATCCGGCAAGCTGCTGGAGGCACGAGCCTCGGTCGGGACACGCGGAAGCCAAGTCCTCGACCAGCGAAGATGTGCTCGTCACAGGTCCTTCGCGAGAGCACTCCCAAAGCCTCCAGCCCGAAGGCCGCTTGCCCCAAAGCCTCCCACTCTGCTGGGAAACCAAGCCGCGAGCATATGTTTGTCATAATGCCTGCAGGCAGATGGAGCAGAGGTGGAGGCTTCTGTTGAGGAGCTGCGGCAGCTAGCCAGGGATGCCTTATTGAGAGGTGCGCAGTCGGGCAAACTCTTTGATGTGCTGGCTGAGAGCAGCGCCAAGAAAGAGCAAGCAAACAAGAAAGAAGACGCAGATCTAGACAGGTTGCGGCTTCAGGCGCGTGACTTGCTGTTGGAAGGCGCTCAGAGCGGAAAGTTATGGGAGGTCTTGCAAGGCACGGCTCTACAGGAGTCAGCCGAGTCATCAGACGACGTGGACAAGTTGC